GGGTTCAGTTGGTGGAAGGTCTGTAAGGGAGACAGAGACCGCAGTCAGATCCGGGGCAGCCGCCCGCAGACCCCTGCCCACGTCAGCAGAGCTGGGTGCACACGTAGGTCCCCCCACAGCGGGGACGGGCTGCGCGCTGCCCCCGTCCCTCCACCCGCCCCCGTGCACTCACTTGGCCCATTCCACGTTGAGGATCAGATGGTCGTAGCCAAACCCGGACACCCCGGCGATAGCACGGGCCGCATCCTCCCGGCGGTGGAAGCTGATGAAGGCAAAACCCTGGGGCGGATGAAAGCGAGGTGGTGAGGGCAAGCGGGGCGTCTCCCCCCAACCCTCGCGGGGGCTGACGAGAATCCCTCCCTGCCCCTCTCACCTTGGACTGCCCGGTGGTCTTGTCCTTGGCTAGGTAGATCCTAGAAATGGAGCCGAAGGGACGGAACAGCTCCTGCAGGTCAGTCTCACGCGTGTCCTCGGACAGGTTGGTGACGCGGATGGTGGCATTGTCGTCAGCTAGGGCGGAAGACGGGCAGCTCAGGGCCGCGGGGAGGCTCTAAAACCCTCACCGCCCCTGAGCGGCACAGCCTTGTGCATGGGGCACAGCCGGCCGGGGCTCCCGACGTCCCGCCGGCTCCCACCCCTCCGGACTCACCTCCTTGCTGGTGATGAAGGTCATAAAGACGTCGTCGCTCACCGTGGTGGTGGCCACGTTAGGACCGGGGGCATCGAACTCGGAGTTGCCAAACTTCTTCCAGTTCTGGGGAGAACCAGAGGCTGCTCGGGAAGGGGGAAGGCTGGGAGGGACCCACTCGCGTGACGCACTCCCGAGTCCTGTACAACACTTGGGACCAACATAGCCCCACTAGTGCTGAACGCAGAGCGCGAACCACAAACAGGAAGAAAAGCAACCCTAACGATGGATACTTTGGGGAGACGGGGAAAATATCGAGCAGAAGGAACACGCAGAGCGGGAGCGCTGACAGAAGAAGCAGATTTTCTTTGAGTACAGTTTCTATTTTTCTGTTTCTCCCTACAAGCGGCGCTGTCCCCCCTGCCCCGCACGGCGCGCGCTCACCTTCCTGCGGGCCACCGCCTTGGAGGCCTTCCTGGTTTCAATCCGGAAGGTGCGGATGATCTGCAGGGGCATAACAGAGTCTATCAGCGCAGGAGGAGGGACGGCCTGCGTGTGGCAGACACCCTTCAGGCCCCAACTAGAGCAGCCTGAGGCAGAGCTGAAGCCGGGCGCGATGAGGCGCCCTTAGCGCGGCCCGCCGGGACCAGCCCGGCCCTCGGGAACAGCCCGCACCCAGCTGCGCTGGCAGGACCAGGGAGCGGTGCCCTCTCCGGCGGGAGGGGTGGGGGGGCCTGCG